TTTATATCCTTCAGTTCACCAACTCAGATATCATCAGTTCTCAGGTGATATACGCTATTAATTAAACAAAATAATTAATAAAACACTATAACACATTAAAATAACTCTCTAAAAAACTATAGTTACGTTAAACTGCAGGAATAGATATAAAAGTGCGCGGCAAGCGCTTTTTTTTTTAAAGAGTGGCAGAAACGGGCTTCCATACTGCGCCATATTTCCTCTTCCTTTCTGTCGTTAGACTATATTTACTAATCCCAGCGGGATACCAGCTCTGGCTTGCTTGATGTTGCCATGACAACGTAACTTCCACAAACTAGAATTGATTAGGCCTCAAAATAATTCAATCCAAATACACGTAATAGTGAAATAAAAGCAGCAAAAATCATTTCCTATAATATTCATAAAAATGTATTCATTGTGCATATTATTTTTAATATGTTTAAATCTCCCTTTAGCCACTAGAGGGTGCTGCAGCACCCCACTTCCTGCAGCCATGTCTGCTGCAGTTTTCCCTCCATAATTCATCAGATTATTCATCAGGCAGGAGGCTGAAGAACAGCCAGTTACAGGAAATAATCCCAATGAATAAATGTCTGTAATCTGCTGCTGTTAGATTATTTGCTTCATGTCTTCAGATTTTTATCAGATTTTGTCTTTTTCCTTTTTTCATCCGGAGGTTTATTCTGTAAATGTCATCCCTCCAAATTAAGGTAATTCCTTTATGACCCATGTGGATACAAAAGCTAATTTAGGATGGATAATAACTGTGTTGTCATGGTGATAGGGGATGACCTTTGACCTTTAAAGGTCCTAAATTGTGTTAATTTTAAGCTGAATAACAGCAGAATGTTCCAACAGGAAGTCCATCTTCCTGCAAAGTCCCTCCAGGTTTTCCCAACATTCCAAGGAAACCTTCTAGAAGCTTCTGGGTTTTTGTTGCGTCTGCTTGAAGGTCACATGTTCTACCTTTACATACGTCTATGGTTCCCTCCTGGTTCAGCTGAGACTGAGACACAAGTGGAGGTAATTCATCTCCACTAGGGGGGGGGTAGTGCCCAAAGGCGGATCCAGAACTCAGAGGAGCCAACCGAGAACCAGAGAGAAAGGAACAGTTCAGCAAACACTGGATCCACCTTCCGGACATCCAGGGTTCCTGTTCGAACGTTTCCATCGGTAACTTCCACAGGAAGGAAGGAAGGAAGGAAGGAAGGAAGGATCCTTTTTCAGGCCTAGAAAAACTACTCTAGATCTTCCAGAACCTGGTGTGGGCCCCTCAGTACCCATCTGGAGAAAAGAACTCAGAACTCGAATGTTAAGCAGGAAGAGGAAACAAGATCATGAAACCAGAACAAGTCAAACATCTTTTTATTAGAGTTTTCTTTTGGAAACATCAGGAACAAAGATCTGAACAACAAATGAACGGAACAGTTCCTCTCAGATTCAGTTCTTTCTGGTAACCGATTCAGTTCTGTCTGGTAACCGATTCAGTTCTGTCTGGTAACCGATTCAGTTCTGTCTGGTAACCGATTCAGTTCTGTCTGGTAACCGATTCAGTTCTTTCCAGAAACAGATTCAGTTCTTTTTGGTAACAGATTCAGTTCTAACAGATTCAGTTCTTTCTTAAAGATCCAGTTCTTTCTGGTAACAGATTCAGTTCCTTCTGGTAACAGATTCAGTTCTAACAGATTCAGTTCTTTCTTAAAGATCCAGTTCTGTCTGGTAACTGATTCAGTTCTTTCCAGTAAGAGACTCAGTTATTTCTGGTAACAGATTCAGTTCTAACAGATTCAGTTCTTTCTAACAGATCCAGTTCTTTCTGGTAACAGATTCAGTTCTAACAGATTAAATTCTTTCCTACAGATTCAGTTCTTTCTGGTAACAGATCCAGTTCTTTCTGGTAACTGATTCAGTTCTTTCCAGTAAGAGATTCAGTTATTTCTGGTAACAGACTCACTTCTAACAGATTCAGTTCTTTCTTACAGATCCAGTTCTTTCTGGTAACAGATTCAGTTCTAACAGATTAAATTCTTTCTTACAGATTCAGTTCTTTCTGGTAACAGATTCAGTTCTGTCTGGTAACTGATTCAGTTCTTTCCAGTAAGAGATTCAGTTATTTCTGGTAACAGACTCAGTTCTAACAGATTCAGTTCTTTCTTACAGATTCAGTTATTTCTGGTAACAGACTCAGTTCTAACAGATTCAGTTCTTTCTTACAGATTCAGTTCTAACAGATTAAATTTTTTTCTTACAGATTCAGTTTTTTCTGGCAACAGATTCAGTTCTTTCTGGTAACAGATTCAGTTCTTTCCGGTAACAGATTCAGTTCTTTCTAACAGATTCAGTTCTTTCCGGTAACAGATTCAGTTCTTTCTAACAGATTCAGTTCTTTCCGGTAACAGATTCAGTTCTTTCTAACAGATTCAGTTCTGTCTGGTAACAGATTCAGTTCTTTCTAACAGATTCAGTTCTGTCTGGTAACAGATTCAGTTCTTTCTAACAGATTCAGTTCTTTCCGGTAACAGATTCAGTTCTTTCCGGTAAGAGATTCAGTTCTTTCCGGTAACAGATTCAGTTCTTTCTAACAGATTCAGTTCTTTCCGGTAACAGATTCAGTTCTTTCTAACAGATTCAGTTCTGTCTGGTAACAGATTCAGTTCTTTCTAACAGATTCAGTTCTTTCCGGTAACAGATTCAGTTCTTTCTAACAGATTCAGTTCTTTCTTAAAGATCCAGTTCTGTCTGGTAACTGATTCAGTTCTTTCCAGTAAGAGACTCAGTTATTTCTGGTAACAGATTCAGTTCTAACAGATTCAGTTCTTTCTAACAGATCCAGTTCTTTCTGGTAACAGATTCAGTTCTAACAGATTAAATTCTTTCCTACAGATTCAGTTCTTTCTGGTAACAGATCCAGTTCTTTCTGGTAACTGATTCAGTTCTTTCCAGTAAGAGATTCAGTTATTTCTGGTAACAGACTCACTTCTAACAGATTCAGTTCTTTCTTACAGATCCAGTTCTTTCTGGTAACAGATTCAGTTCTAACAGATTAAATTCTTTCTTACAGATTCAGTTCTTTCTGGTAACAGATTCAGTTCTGTCTGGTAACTGATTCAGTTCTTTCCAGTAAGAGATTCAGTTATTTCTGGTAAAAGACTCAGTTCTAACAGATTCAGTTCTTTCTTACAGATTCAGTTATTTCTGGTAACAGACTCAGTTCTAACAGATTCAGTTCTTTCTTACAGATTCAGTTCTAACAGATTAAATTTTTTTCTTACAGATTCAGTTTTTTCTGGCAACAGATTCAGTTCTTTCTGGTAACAGATTCAGTTCTTTCCGGTAACAGATTCAGTTCTTTCTAACAGATTCAGTTCTTTCCGGTAACAGATTCAGTTCTTTCTAACAGATTCAGTTCTTTCCGGTAACAGATTCAGTTCTTTCTAACAGATTCAGTTCTGTCTGGTAACAGATTCAGTTCTTTCTAACAGATTCAGTTCTGTCTGGTAACAGATTCAGTTCTTTCTAACAGATTCAGTTCTTTCCGGTAACAGATTCAGTTCTTTCCGGTAAGAGATTCAGTTCTTTCCGGTAACAGATTCAGTTCTTTCTAACAGATTCAGTTCTTTCCGGTAACAGATTCAGTTCTTTCTAACAGATTCAGTTCTTTCCGGTAACAGATTCAGTTCTTTCTAACAGATTCAGTTCTGTCTGGTAACAGATTCAGTTCTTTCTAACAGATTCAGTTCTGTCTGGTAACAGATTCAGTTCTTTCTAACAGATTCAGTTCTTTCCGGTAACAGATTCAGTTCTTTCCGGTAAGAGATTCAGTTCTTTCCGGTAACAGATTCAGTTCTTTCTAACAGATTCAGTTCTTTCCGGTAACAGATTCAGTTCTTTCTAACAGATTCAGTTCTGTCTGGTAACAGATTCAGTTCTTTCTAACAGATTCAGTTCTTTCCGGTAACAGATTCAGTTCTTTCTAACAGATTCAGTTCTGTCTGGTAACAGTTTTTCTAAAAGATTCAAGCATTACTTAAAGCTACAGTGTGTAATTTTCAGCGACATCTAGCGGTCAGACTGCAGACCGCAGCAACATGAACATCTCCCCCCCACCGCTTCTCCCCCCCAACAGTACGGTGAGCGTTACGGGACAAAATGTCTTCCATGACGTCCGCATCACCTACCTTCTCTAGTGATGAGGTTTGTTTACATAGATAATTTTAATACTGCGATCTATTGTTCAGTCCCGTCTCAGTTCATCTCTCTCAACTTGCCGTAGTTACTTTCGAGCGTAATGGGCGATCTCGCAATCGCTACTTTGTTGGCTCTGCGCTGCCGTAGCGCAAAGATGTCTGCCTCCATGGCTGCGAGACCCGCTCCTATGTAATTATAAATAACGAATTCTAAGGCAACGCAAATATTAAGGTTAAGAGGCTGAGCTCGTAGATGATGATAAATAACATAGTTATGTATAATATATTACATTTCTGACTGTATATCCCTGTAATTATTACACACTGTAGCTTTAATGTAACAGATAAGTTTCCGTTACAGATCTATAGCAGATCCAGTTCCTGCTACAGATTCAGTTCCTGCTACAGATTCAGTTCAGTCCAGTTTTTCCACAAATCCAAAAAGTCAAATCCAGATTCCTGTCAGATCTAAGCTCTTCTTGCTTTTTAAAAAAGGAACAAACAGGATGTGCTTCTTTAGACAGACATGCATTCACTGGGGAACAGGAAGTTGTGCATCTGTTTGTTGCTGAGCAGTATTTCCTGGTTCTAACTCGCTTTATGCTAACAGCAGGTCAAAGGTCAGACCGAACAGATTAGGTCTACATCCTTCTCTGTTCACATTTCAATGAATTACTTTACCACAGAATATATATATAGCTTAAATAATTGAACATGTTCTGGAATGTGACGCCATAAACCATCAAACTGTGGTTAAAGTGTTGAACACCATGACTGAAAGCTGACAGGTGAGTCACAGCCTGTCGACCTTCGGCTTCTCTCTAGTCTCATTTCCAGTCCGCCCACCGTCAGAAAGATCACAAATAAACGACACTGGTGCCAAAACCAGAAGAATAAATCTAGTAAATACCAGATTTCTGAGTGTAAATGAACCTGAAAGGTTAGAGATGATGTTCCTGCAGAGGCACATCATCCACCATGACACGCCGCCATTTTCTCCATCGCCTCTTTATTCCCTCAATCCCAGAAGGTTAACACTCTTTTATCTAAAAGGTTATTTCTAATTTAGGGAAATCATTTAATTCCTTGGATTATGAATCAATTTGAACTCAAACTAATTTCTCTAAATTAGTTTTAAAGCTAATTTGGTCCCGTTTGGTTCTCGGTCATAAACCTGCTGCTGGGCCGTGACCATTGCATCATTTAATGGTCGTTTCTTCCATCCAGAAGCTCCGTTTAGTTTGGTCTGTTTGACTTGGAGCTAAAAGATTTTTGTTAATAAATTATTTTCTTTTGAATGAAAGTTGAAATGATTCAGAGTTGAATAATTAGCTCCATTCATATTTACGTCCTTTGTCTAAATGAAAGTCATAAGATTCACTGAAATAAACGTGAGATTCAGCTGAAGTTCTGGTCCAGTAACCCCCCCCCCCACCCCACCCCCAGGTGGCCCCACACCTGCAGGAGCTTCATCTCATCCTGGTCTCTCCAGAACCAGCAACCTTCCAGAACCTGAGAACCGTCCAGGATCTACAGACGGGAGCGAGACGCCGCTCTGGCTTTGGTCAACAGGGACTGATGGGTCCCTGAAAACGCCCCACATCCCTGAAGCTCCGCCCACAAAGCTCCTGGAGGAGCAAATGGGGAGTTTCCTGTAGATCCAGGACCATCTGGGCGTTTAAGTTCCAGGTTCTGGAAGCAGCCGGTCCAAAACAAAGCTACATTCAGATGGAATAAGCTGCTGCTGTTTTAACCAAGTTCTGCCTGGATCCAGTCTGGATGGACCCGGTTCTGGTGGAGGAGCTTAACGAGCAGCTTCCATCCCCTCAGAGGGAAACACCGCGGCGATGAGGAATGTTCTCTGTCAGAGCAGCATCCATGGCAACGGGAGCTACGGCGACGCTCCTGCGGCCCGCGGTCACAGAGACGTTTCTCTGGTGAAGCTGAGGGAAGGCTCCAGCTGGACTTCGTTGGTTTTGGTCTCTGCAGGACAGCCGCCGGGCCCTCCCGAGGGAAGCTGTGGGACGGAGGGACAGGATTAGGCTGGGAGCGGCCACCAGGGGGCAGCAGCCAAACAGCAGCGGCCACCAGGGGGCAGCAGCCACCAGGGGGCAGCAGCCAAACAGCAGCGGCCAGTTTGACATCAAGTTGAATCAACATCAGTCGGCTGGTTGGATAAAAGCTAAATTTATTTAGATTTTATAAATCTATTAATAAATTAAATTCTACTTTTTAACTTTTCAACCTTTTTGTGTTCAAACCAAGTTTAGTAAAACCGTCCTGGAAGGCAGGAAAGAAGCCTTTCTGTTAACACGGAGTTCTTTAAGGAGGACTGGAGTTAAGGTGGATCTCATGGTTCTCACGCCTCTCCTTTCCATCATGGAGCTGACTGCTGCTGCTGGGAGGACAGACCCGCATCATCGGGCGAGAGGCGGGCCAACAGAGCGGCCATCTTAGGTCAGACCAGGCTGCTTCAATGGAGGCTAATCCTACTTTATGACTTTAGACGCTCTGAGTCCGATGAACTCTTTACCGATTCCCAGATAAACTGGTTGAATGAAGGCGAGAACTTTTCACGGGTTAAATGAGACCAACTGGTTGATCTGATTTTCTAATTTAAGGCTGAAATAATTAATCTGATTAATCAATTATTGAAATAATCACAAAATATTGTAGTAGTGGAGTATAGAGACTCTAAAACATGCCTTTAACTGAGCGACCCACTTAGAGCGGGGATTATACCAAGATTAAAAATGAAAAAAATAAATAAATAAATATATATATACATTTTTTTTATTTAAGATGAAAAAAATCTGTAATCTGTAAATCTGCTCTATCCAGAACTCCTCAAGTAAAAAAGGTATTAGTTTCATCTGGTTTGATTTAGTAAAAATGTTCTTTAAGAAACCTTTGGCTATCGATTAATCTGATCAGATTAATCGATTAATAATTATTAGTCTAAGCCCTAAATTTCCTCTATTTTAATCATGTAAAGCACTTTGCATTGTCTTTGTACTGAATTGTGCTATACAAATAAATTTGCCTTGCCTTGCCCTAAATGAAATACATTCTTTTGATTTATATTGACTGCTATCAAACGTCCAGATTTCCTCTCAGGACGCTCTACGGCTGCACAGATAAAATGAGATTACAAACCAGATCCAGTGGGATTAACTTTGATTAGTGCCGCGGTTCTCAAAGTGTGTGGCGCGACCCACTGGTGGGGAATTGAGACGTGACAGGTGGGGCGCGCCAAGTTCCGGTGTGTGTGACTATAAAAGTAGAACTTGTGAGAGCAAACTGTCCTTATAGCTGTATGTTGCCGCTTTTTAGACCAATCAAACCCACAAAGTAATCCTTACTAGCCTACATGCAGTCTAATTAAAAGAACATTAGATATGAGAAACATTTCACCTGGAACTGAAGTGCCAAAATAATGATTGACGTGACGTCGGCATATTATTTGTAACGGAATAAACTTTCGCGCCCCAGTGTTGCCAACTCAGCGACTTTGTCGCTATATTTCAGACCCCTCCAGCGACTCTTTTTCAAAAAAGCGACTAGCGACAAATCTAGCGACTTTTGGAGACTCTTAAAAGCACGTATCGTTCCTTTTCTTGTCCTCCAGCGGCAGGTGCTGCCGTGGGGCGCCTCCTCCCTCCCAACCCCGTTCTCCCCCGCTATCGCAGGAGTCCCTCTCAGCGCTGCAGTAAGGGACACAGCATGTTTACCCTCAGCGTCCAGACTGCAAATAAAGCGCACATGCGCCGGGATTGACGGCGCAGGTTGATCATAAATAACTGAATTTCAAATATTTTATCTTAAATAACGCCGTTTGATTCACACAGCCACATGTTCATGTTTCTGGTTTGGAGTGGAGAGGGAGTATCCACTCATCGGGCAGAGAGCTGTGTGCATTCTTCTTCCCTTTGCCACATCATATCTCTGTGAGATGGGCTTTTCAGCTGTTGCTTCACTGAAAACAAAGCATGACTTGAGAGTGGCAGTATCAAGCCTGCAACCCCGTTTTGAGAAACTGCAATGCAAAACAGGCTCATTGCAGCCACTGATGCAGGGATAAATAGACCTGTCTTGCCAGATGGATTTCACTTCTTTTCTTTTATTAACAGATTGCAGAGTGGAACTTTAATTTTTTTCTATCTTTGAGCTTGATACAAATTTTGACACAGCTGCATTTTTATTTTCTTTATTTTTGAGCTTGCTGTTATTTGATGTAGATTTGTATTTAGATACTACTTGTTACTTCAATAAAATTGGAACATTTTAAGAATGTTTCATATTTCATTAGCATTGTGTTGGGGCGATGGGGACAGGCGGGGCTTGAAAATTCCCCCTTGTCCAAAGTGGGGAATGACAGAAAAAGTTTGAGAACCACTGGATTAGTGGGAATTATTGCAGATTATCTTCATGTTTCACAGCTACGGTTTTTCTGGTGTTTAAAGAAGATGATGAAGATTCTGTTTTATAAACCACATTAGTTTCCTCTATAGATCATAATACTCATTAATAAAGAACAATCCTTTATAATACTGAATAATAAATATTAAATATTTATATAATGTTATAATATATTAATATAAAACTTTTTGTTTATCATATTCACATTTAATTGTAAATTATATCTAAATCAGTTTGAATTAAGTTTAAAACGTTTTTAATCTGAATAAAACTGTAATCTGACTGAAAGGAAATTTTAAAATTAGTTTTTTTCTTTTAAGGAGTTTTTTTTTACATGTTAGAGATTATTGTAATATTTTCTCTGACTCTCTAAGGCGCCTCCTGTTCATTCTGCCTGCAGCTGAACTGTGGTCTGACCCAAGATGGCCGCCCTCCAGGCAGCGTCCAATGAGGCGTCTATGTACTAATGTCTGTGACTGGGATTAGAATGGTGGGCGGGGCTTAGAGGGGGGGGCTTTCTGTTGTGGTAATAATTGAAAAACGTTGAAAAAGAACATAATAAAAAAAGTTTCACATATTTTTCAGGTTTTAGTGACGACAAGAATATTAAACGACCATCGATTTCACAAACAGATCATTAAATTAATAAATAAAGCTAAATCAGCTGAGGTAAAAACACAAATGTTATTAACTGAATCCATTATCATTATTATACTTGCTATTATCTATTATAGAAGCTGCATTTCAGCAGAATTCACAATAAAATCTATAGATTATAGATTATAGATTAACGTTTAAGGTTTTCTTTCCAAACCTGCTGACTTTATAAATCATGTGACGTCATGTTTTCTCCGTTAAATCACTAAACTACCACATTTAAAGTCTCATTATTTAACATTTAACGTGATACAGAAACACTAGAGGTGTGAATGAGCACCAGGAGCCAGAATAATAGTGAGCAAATAGTGACAAACATCAGCAACATGTTGTTAAAATAATGTTTCTAAAACCGTTGATATTTCAAACTGAATCCATGAGTTAAAAACTAAATGTAACGTTTAACGTTGTTTTGATGTTTTTCTCAAACGGACATTTTTTTAACAACTTTTAAAGGTTTAATGTCAGTCAGACGGCAGCAGGAAGAGCTGGAGGTTCCCAGAGGGACCAGAGAGGCGCCTCCGTCTCAGCAGCAGCAGATTTACGGAGCAGCGGCTTTCAGACGGGCAGAGAAAAGAAACCATCTGCTTCTTTATTTACGGGTTTTATTTAAAGGTCAGATTCCATCTACTCGCCGTCTGCAGGGCCTTAAATCAGACCAGAAACACGCAGAGTTTCATTAAGGTTTAAAGAAGTCTGAAAGCTTCTGAAACTGAAGGAAATGTTTTAATTTCCCTGAAGAACAAAAGGATTTTACAGTAAGGCGGTGGCCATGTTGGAACAGACCCACGACAAGTTCTGCTTCAAAGATGATGAGAATTATTCATTCGCTATATTAAATTACAAAATACCTTTAATGAGAAAATTGTTGGACTGATAAATAAACATCTGATCCAAACAGGTTTTATTTTATTACTGTAAATAAAAAAGTTGTGCTTTAAATATACTTTTAATGACCAATAAAAACATTTTAAGGCTGCAGGATGTGGCTAAAAATCAAAGATTGTTTAAGAATTAAGAATATAATATTTTTAATGATAATTTAACATATAAAATATAATCTAATAGAAAGAAAACTGCATCGACAAATAAAAGAAGTTTTTTTTTATGTTTTAGTAGTGAATGAAATGTTTTAGTAGTGAATGAGCATAAAAATCCTCAAACTTCAGCTTCTTCTAACGTCGTTCGTCCGGCCGCCACTCGCAACATGGCGGCTGGCTTTCAGGACCTGAGAGCAGCAGCGGCCGCACGGCGCCTCGGCAGAGGTTCAGTACTCACCGGCCGGCCCTCCGTCGCCATGTTGACGTTGTGCCGCTTCAGGTCAGACTTGATCAAAGCTGCGACACAAAGCAGAAGGAAAGATCTCAGTTCCTGTTCTCTGCAGCTGCTGGAAGCATCAGCTGTCCTCCTGCCTACCAGTGAGAACCACTCCCACCAAGATCCAGGCGGACAGGAAAAGGTTCCCAGCCAGCGGATCAAAGTCTGTGGTCA